CTTGAACACATTTCAACTTTCAATTGGCACTATATGGAAGACGCCCTAGATTGTGTGAAAATTTTATAGGATGATTGATATAGTTGTCATTAAATGATCTGTCAAAAGATAAATGGAAGCCATGTTGTTTAAATGGAGAAGATTGTCAATGACTTTTGCGCTTGTAAAAAGCTTTTCTAAGATATTGGATTGAAATATACGAACAATTTATATATTAAAATATTTTTTTACCGGAAATAGTTCTCTGATAAGTACAAAACAAAGAATAAAGGAGAAAATGATGCATGATGCCTTCAAAGTGTGTGCAACACTTCTTTTTAAGTTTACTTCGTCCACGCTTATTCGTATCTTATAAAGTACAAATTGGATTGATTAGTGAATTTTCTCCCGGATACAATAAAAACCTTTGAATATGAATTACACTTCTAAAATTTAAGCCCAGACAATGATGATATTTATAAAATGATAATTTGACTCTATCTTTGTGTATACTCAAAGACAAAGGTAAATGAATTTAATCTTAATATGTTTGTATTTTGTTGAATCTAAATGAAGTGATGATGAGAGGTTTATATAGACTATGAAATGATATCTTGAAGAGATATCTTTTGGAATAATAACACATTAAATAAAAAGTCACAACTATATATTGATTTATAAACCAACATATTTTAAATAAATAAAAGATATTTAATATGTAAGGTCTTTTAGTATTATAACTTCCTATATAACTCTTTATATAAATATATTAATTTATATGAAGTTATAACTTTTTGTATAAATTTATTAATTTAATAAATTTATACAGAGACATGACTTTTCAAAAACATGTCTCTTGATTTTTAAAATATTCCAACAATATTACTCATCTAAAAAGACTCCATAATTAAGGACAAGATCCACTTCTTCACGGAGTAAAATAGGAAATCATTTCATAAAACATAGGAGCGTTTTAACCTCCTAATAAGCCAATGCCTCATCACCAATTTTCACATAAAATCTTGAAGGATTCCCCCCCCCCCCCCATGATAGGCTAAGTTGCCGATGCCAATCCAAATTTGATGATGCAACTTGAGATGATCCAAGGAACGCGACCTTTGTAGAGAGGGAGGAGATTTATAAGAAGTTAGCAACAAATTCAAGGCAGAAAGCAATTCCAGAACAAAGAGTCATGGTTAACAATGAAGTTACTGCCTCAATTTTTTTGTTATCAACTACAAGATTTAACATAAAGTTTAAATAATACTACCTCCGATCTCTAATATAAGACCTTAGTTGAATTTATTTTGATCATAAATATAAGACTCCAATCTACTTTGTCTCTTATATTTATGTATTTTTTTCTCAAGGTAGTCCTTCTAACAATAGTAATTCTAGCCAATACACTTGATTAACAAGAATATTTTAGGAAAGACAATACCTATGTATTACAAATAACTAACTTAATTTCTTTCCTTAATTTTCTCAAATTAGTCAACTAGTTCGTATAATTAGGACTGGAGGTAATATATAGTTGCAAAAGTTTAATCATATTAATTTCCTTTCTTCTTTCTCCACTAATCATTCTCCTCATGCAATTTATAGGCTTCTCATAAGGGAGAGAGCTCACCGTGAGAACTCCAACACCCACAACTCAAGGAGAAAAAATCATCTAGATTATTCTTGGAGAAATTCCATTCTTCAAGAACCACGAGCACAACTTCCAACAACGAGAAGAACTCAATTGAAAATTGCACAACAAAGTTGAAGGAAGCCGTTCAAATGACAATTACCTAGTAAATATCATGAAGAGCATGAATCTAACAACAGACCAACTTAAATAAACAGTTGCTTTCGCTCAGCTTTTAATAAAAAATAAAAAATAGCGCTTATATTTTAAGAAAAATATGGAAACCTAGATAATAAATTTGACTAACTTGTTTACTGGAATGAGTCAAAACAACTTGAGAAAATGACGCGAAAATGACACTTCAACTTAGAAACATTAAAGTAGCCACTTGAATTTGCAAAATCCTAATTTAGGCATAAGTGACCAATTTGGGATTTTTAAAATTACTGAAATGACTATATTGCCCTTTATTTTATATATTCTTTTTTAAAAAACCATAACCCCCACTGGCCGGCCGATTACCGAAGCTCAGGTAGTCGCGGTCCCTGGAGCTTCAGCGGTAGGTTGACAATAGGTCGTTGGAACTCTGGCAGCGGGCAACAATTTTTTTGAAATTTTTTATAATTTTAGTAAAACAGTTAACAATTTTTGTAACACTGTTAATAAGTTCAGTATAGCAGTTAACAACAGGTTTTTTTAGAAAATTGAAAAAGTAGCATTCTACAACTTCAGTAATGTTGTTGACAAGTTCCGTAACTCTATTAACAACTTTGGTATGACATTTAACAATAGATTTTATTAAAAATTCAAAAAAAATGACAATTTTACAACTTTAGCAACTATTTTTTTTTTTTGGGAAAATTTTTATAACTTCAGTAAACCGATTAACAAGTTTTATAATGCTATTTACAAGTTTAATATAGCAGTTAACAATATGTTTTTCAGAAAATTCAAAAAGTAGTATTTTTACAACTTCAGTAATGCTGTTAACAAGTTCCGTAACTCTATTAACAAGTTTGGTATAGTATTTAACAACAGATTTTTTGATAAATTCAAAAAGTGATAATTTTACAATTTTAGTAACACGATTAACAAAAAATGTAATGATATTAACAACTCTCATAAAGGTTGATATTTTTAATATTAGCTCTCTATAAAAGTTGTATAACAAAATTTTTTCACTTATTAGGTAGCCATTATGGTCATGAGAGTTGTTAATATCGTTACATGACTTGTTAACCGTGTTACTAAAGTTGTAAAAATACTACTTTTTGAAATGTTCAGAAAATCTATTGTTAAATGCTATACCGAAATTGTTAATAGAGTTACGGAACTTGTTAACAGTATTACTGAAATTGTAAAAATGCTACTTTTTGAATTTTCTGCTAAATGTGTTGTTAACTATACTGAACTTGTTAATAATATTACAAAAGTTATTAACCGTTTTACTAAAGTTGTAAAAAAATTTTAAAAAATTGTTGCCAGACACCGGAGCTCTGGTGACTGATTGTCGGCCAACCACTAGAGCTCCAATAACGGTGGCCACCTAACCTCCGACAGACGCTGTTGGTGCCAGAGCTTCGATGACCGGCCAGCCAGTAGAGGCTTTTGGTTTTTAAAGAATAAATAAAATAAAGAGCAATATGATCATTTTAACAAATTTAAAAATCTCAAATTGATCACTTATGTCTAAATTAGGATTTTATAAATTTAAGTGATTATTTTGGTATTTCCAAATTGAAATGTTATTTTTGTCTCATTTTCCCAAGCAAGCTTCCAAGTAAGTCAATTCACGGGAGCAAATTATGCCGCTCAACATACAAAGTGGTAAGGAACTATACAAAAGTGCCAAGTGATAAGGAACTAAAAGAAGAGGATGGTAGGGACATAAAAAATGAAGAGAATAATGTGTAATAGAGGTGCCTAAAGCTAATATTGAGATTCATAGTAGTATTTCTCGCCCTAGAGTGGAAGGGTACTTTGAGTCTCAGGAAAAACAAAAGAAAAGGATACTCCCAATTTTACTTAATTTTCTTTAATAAAATGATCAAATATACTAATAAAACATTACTACATTACCAAAAAGACTACTGAAATATAACATATAAAAGACGAGCTCATACGCTAGATACCAACTTATGGAAAAGTATATAAGACTAAATTTAAAAGTTTCAGACAAAACTTTTCTAACCGATAAGCGAATTAAAAGCCCAAACACCTTGAGAAATAAAAGAATACAATAGCCTAGCACCAACAAGACGATGAAAATCATGTAGACTCATAATCACAAAGTTGATGATTTGTTAGGAAGACATGAACAAGTAGTATTCCTCCTCAGAAATCCTTGTGTTACAACATCGCATAATAAAATATTTGTCAACAAAAAGTTGACGAAGCAGCATATACCACTAACTTCACTTTAAAGAAGAAAAGCCAACATCTATTTCAAATTGGAGAGGTGCTTGGGTAAAAACAAAACTATAATTTAAAAAGTATTTTTATAGTGTATGAAATAAATATGTGAAGTAGTTTGTCTCAATTTGTAAAAAAATATTTTTAAAAAGTATTTTTATATTAATCCAAACAACCCCCGAGTTTGAAAAAAAAAAGGGCATAAAAACCAATTTTTAGTAGCAAGTTCTAGATGGACAATACCGACGTTTGCAATACTTAGAAATTTCGCCAAAGTTGTCATTACTTGAAACATATTTTGATAAAATTAGCTACTTTCACCAATCCAGAAGTGTGACTTTAATGATCTTTAATGTAAAATCGAATATACACTCAAAAATCAAATCAATCAGTTAGTTCATTTATTGTTGTATTTATGCTCCAATTAAGCATCGCTTGTTGATAGGCTGGCAAGAAATAACATAAATTAAATGCATCATTATTAATTACTCCCTCCGTTCCTTATTATAAGAGACGAATAACCGAATTACGTTGATAAAAAAAACAGTTAAAATTAGTTAAAAACAATCAATGTGTAAAACGTATAATTTTTTTCCAAAAATACCCTCATTAATAAGGAGAGAGAACAATGGTAAATTATTAAAAGAAAGAAAAGTAAGAAGGAGAGAGAGTGTGAGTTGGAGACAATAAATATGGGTAAATAAAAATCAACACAAAAGTAGAGACAACTTTTAAGTGTCTCTTATATATAGGAACATGTCATAAGCATTAAATGCCTCTTATAATAAAGAACGGAGGGAGTATTATTTATAGAACATTTAAGGAACTTTGGATTTTTGTTTATTTGTGTAGGCTAAGTATATATCCAAATCCCAAATGGAAGTAAGGTCACACTTTCAGTGCCTTCTTTGTTCATGTCGTCTTGTTCACCATTCACACTCAAAAAGCAAGAAGAGTTTAGAATCTGTTCGCAGAAACGCAGAAATCTCTTGGGAATTCACGCATGGCGACTTCTAAGGTTGTTACTGCGATTACAGATCTGCCTTATCAGTCTTCTTCTTCTTCCTGTTCTCTTTCTTCAACTCTTGCTGATCTCTCCAAGATCTCTCCTTCCATGAGTATGGATGATCTCCTCAAGCTCATTAACCCTCCCTTTGAACCTGAACCTGGTTCGGCTGCCAATGCTCAATCTGGTGCTGTTGGTTCGATTCCTCGGCAGGGGAGCTTGACGCTTCCGAGGGAATTGGCCGCCAGGTCGGTGGATGAGGTGTGGAAGGAGATGGTGGAGAGGAGTGATCAGATGCTGGTGGGCTCAGGGGTGGTGGGTCGAGAGGAGCAGACTGCTCTGGAGGATTTCTTGATCAAGGCTGGAGCTGTCAGAGAGGAGGACGTCAGAGGCGTTCCTGCTGTTGCGGTGGGTGCCGACGGAGGGAGCCACTGGGCAGACGCAGCGGCGTTCGATGGTGTTGGTGATGGTGGTGCTGGATTCGCAGCGCCCTCAGTGCCGGCGTTTGAAAAAGTAATTGAGGGGCCGGTGGTCGGGGGAGTAGCTGCAGAATCATCGAGAAGGGGAAAGAGGAGGGTTCAAGAGGCACCCATAGACAGGGCCTCGCTTCAGAAACAGAGAAGGATGATAAAAAACAGAGAGTCCGCAGCTAGGTCCAGAGAACGCAAGCAGGTTGATCTTTAATTTTGAAATTTAAATTCCACGAAGAACAACTGATTATAACGCTGTTTCTGTTTGATTTTGATAGAGCATGGTAATTAGAGAAAATTCGTTAGTGAAGGTTAACCGGGAAACCAATAAAGCTGCATACTTCTGTTCATCGTCTGATGTTTTGGGTTTCGAAACTGGAAATTCTTCTGACTTCTTAATCAGCGAAGAGCTCAATTGAGTTGGTTTTGTATTTTATGTTCTTTTGACTGTGTTTGCTCTTTTGATCAGTTGTTTGGAGAAGTGTTTTCTTATAAAAACCTGATGTCGCTGACAGGCTTACACATCTGAGTTAGAGGCTATGGTAGCACAACTGGAGAAAGAGAACGCGCAGCTAAGAGCGGCTGAGGTATTCTTATATGTTTGTGACTTGGAATTTGTGTTTGGTCAAGTGTTTGCCCTTCTTACAATCAGGGGATTCATGGATAATGATTGCTGTTTTCCTCGGGTAAAACATGGCCACAAAAAAACTTTGATGTGCCACCATTTATTTATTTTCAAAAAGCAACCTTATTGTACCAAAAAAAAAAAGCAACCTTATAATGGACACGCGTGGGTGATGATCAAAGTGTCACCATTTGATTTGAACCCTTGCACTGTGTCAAATAAGTACAGGTGTCCATGGACACGAGTCTAATGACCGGTCAGATGAGTAAAGTTTAAGCGCCATGGACTGATGGTGACACCTTGTGTTACTTTCTTTTCATTTCTGTCGTGCCGAAGTATTTGCTTTCCTGAAAAGTATCTAAATTAGTGAGGTCATGAATGCAGGTTGAGAGAAACAATGAGAGGTTCAGGCAGGTATGTAGAATATCTCTTCACTTTCTTTAAGTCTGGAACACTTAAGATGATGATTCTGAGACTACTTCAATAGTCTGGCTTGAGGTTAATAACAAACCCAGCCTCTGGTTAACTCTCGTCTATATATGATCTTGAATGGAAATCCACTCTCTGCATTCTAATGGTGAAAATTTTGTTAGGTAGATTTGATTTTACAAAAAATGAATAGATCAGCAAACTAATTATGGAAAAATCATTATGTGAAGCATATTTTGTAGCAGTATAAGCTTTTATCATGTTTATATGCACCCCTGTAATCGATCTGGTGTAACACTCTGCAATGGGGTTCACTGTTTTATCTTGAAGCAAATCATATTTGATATTTGATATGTTGACCCTGAAGCCAACCCTAATTTCATGTCTGTAGCTCATGGAGTTCCTGCTTCCAGTTATGGAGAAGGGCAGCGCTAGGCCTCGGATCATGCATCGGAGGGTGAGTTCAGCTCAGTGGTGATGCTGTCTGTTGTTTTCAGGGCCATCTGTAGATAGTAATCAGAAAGAGCAGGATAGATAGAGCTTTAGAGGCAAAATAGAAAAAAGTATGAAACAAGGGGGAAGAAGTTTCAGGTTTTTCAGAATACCTTAGCTCAAGTTACATATATAATATATACATATACATATACATATATATATCTTGTAGGATCAGTTGGGGTTTATGTTGTATAGAGAAAATAGCATCAGCAGAGCAATTCAAAGTGATTTGATTTAAACTGTGAAGGTAGATATATACTTTAGTCGACATGGATCCTTTGCTTATAGAAGATCTTTGATTCTGCTGGGTTTTAGGAAGAAGGGCCTCATGAAAGTTGTAATAGGGACTAATTAAGAAGAGTATATAGTTTTAGCCACCATAGTATTCTGCTTCTTCTTTATTTTTTTAATCAGTATTCTGCCTCTTGAATTTATTATGTACGTATATAAAAATTTAATGTCTTAAATTATACAGACTTTGATTTGCTCCTTTCCTTCAGTCCTTCGTTTTCATTCTTTTCTACTTGGCGTTGAACTTGCTCTATTCTTTGTTGAAAATTATGCTGCCTTACATTGAAACAGGATTTCATCGACTCAACTTGGACTTTCCTATTCAAATTATGTAACCAGACTTTTCCTCGAACATGTTCATTAATGGACTTGTACAAAATTTGAGTTATTGATATAAAAATAGGCCATGGATGCCCATGGAGATAAGGAAAACTTATGCATTAGAGCGGTCAAGATTTTAATTTACTCTCTATATAATTGGAGGTTCTTTGATAATATGCTAGCATTCATTATTAGATCAAGCGATAAGATACTTAAATACTGTGAAAGTATTCACGAAGGAGCACTTGTAGCTGAAGGTTTTTTTTGTGGCTCATATATATATGCCCTAAAAGTTTATTTTAGTAACAAAAATCTTTTAGCCGTTATCCGTAATTAAGTTTGATTGTTAAATTATACAGTTTGATTAATGTTTTTAATGATCAAACTTAATGACGCATAACAGTTTGGAACATAAATGCTGTGAAATAAAACTTTCAGGATATATAAGAGTAAAAAAAAAAAACTTCTAGGTATTGCATGTTTTTTCATGTTCATGTATATTTTTGGAATATTTAAGCACATTATTTCTTAGATTAATTAACACACATTGTGACTTCAAAAAATCAATTGATATATATTTAAAAAAACAATTTAACATATGCAATGTAACTATATTTTCTTGATATTCATTTCAATGATATGGTGAATGTAAAAAAGACAAAAAAGGTGAGAATATTAACTGAGTTGCTGATTCTCCCCTCTGAGAAATTTTTGAAGAACATTTTAAAGCAGATTTAAGTGACCGAATCCAACATTGATACGGATCAAATTTTGACTTTCTGGTGCGAATTCTCATGCTTTTACGCACTGGTATAACAGCAAATATTACTCTCTTAAGATCGCCGGAAAAAATATTACTCTCTTGAAGAGTTAATCCTGCAAGGCTGCAACCAATTTTGAAGCATTTCTGTCAATTTTTTAGATATTTTGAGTGTAAGGGGATGTTTAAGATTCCAATAGCATTCCATAAAAGATATACAACTTAGATTATATAAGATATGAAAATTCTAATAAATTACACTATTTATGAATGGGGATTGATCTAGCATTTTTGGATCTTTTGTTTTATTTGCAGCATTTATTGTGTTTTTTTCGTATGCACGGGCTTCTTTTTTTTTTTTTCGTTCGAAGAATGGGCTCCCCGAACCCCACTCATATAAATAGCATATTTTTAGCTCTTATCTTTTCCGATTGAAAATAGAGAGAAAATTTTCAAGATTTTTTTTTTCGGAGAAACATAGTATAAATCTTTTTAAAAAGTTATATTAAGTTTTAATATTTAAATGGGATAAGGTACTTAAATACTTTGAAAGTATTCACAAAAGAGTATTCAGTACCTGAAATTTTTTTTCAATCTCATATGCTGTTGAAGTATTATTTCGTAGTATTTTTGTCTTGAATTGTTATTCACTATTAAGTTTGATCAGTAAAAATACCCATTAAACAACATAATTTAATTGTCAAACTTAATGGTAGATAACAACCGGGGTATTTTTGCTTGCGAAAATAAACTTTTAAGGTGTATAAGAACAAAAAAACTTTTAGATAATGGGTGCTCTTTCATGAATACTTTTAGGTATTTAAACACCTAATCACTATTTACATTGTATTTTTTTACCAGAATTATTTAAATTGTATTGAAATAAATAAAAATTATGACAATAATATAAAATTTTGTTTGACCAAAAGAAAAGAATATAAATAAAGTTACATAAAATGTGGGGAAAAAACGAAAGAATTAAAATAATGCTGCATGGAGATAAAAGGGAAAAAAAAACCATATGATTGATAATTTATCAATATGATGACTTGTGAGTTTTATATTCTATATTGATGATATTGATGTTATATTAGGTACTTAATATAAGAATTAGTTAACTAATCTGAATAGATTAAAAAAGTTTGTTAAATTAGTTATTTGTAATAAATATGTATTATCTTTCCTAAAATTTGTATTGGCTAAAATTACTATTATTATAAGGCCTATCTTAAAAATAAATAAATAAACATAAAAGATAAAATAAATTAAAATTTTATATTTAGAATCAAAATAAAAATTCTTATATTAATTAAAGTCCGGAGGTAGTATTACAGGGAGGAATTAATAAATCAAGATTGGCCCATTTATCTTTTCTTTATCAGGAACCATTTTTTCACGCCAAAAGTCAAAACATTACACAGTCAAAGGTTCGATCAAGGAATGATCTGGCGACACCGACCCTTTTGGATCACACCCGTGATTTTCGATTCTACTAAGTCAAAAACATCACGAGGTGACCTGAAATGGCCGCATGGATCTTCCCTGACACGACATTCTTATAACGGTGCGATTTTCAAAAGATCCCCTTTTTAATCTTTTCGGGGGAAGTAAATAAATAAAAAGGAAAAAAAAAAAAGAAGAAGAAGAAAATATCATTATTCATTAATAGCATCACCTTCGATGGGTTTGACGGGCATGATTTTCTCTTGGTTCAATCCTTATGCCCACCAGTGTATGAATTATTGTCGCCCACCACGCATGATAGTTCTTGTTTCCCCGCGTTCTTCTTCCCCCATTACCTTCCCTGTTTCCATATTCTCCTCCTCCAACCTATCATCAATCTCTTCAACCCGGACCCACATTTCAAGTTTCTTTAGAAATTTGAAATCTGAGGGTCAGGCTCAATCATACTTGTGCAGAACGAAGAGATCATTGATGATTTTGGTTTTCTCTGAAAAAGGAGGTGGGAGAAAGGACTTAAGGGTTATGCTCAAGTTGCATGGAATAAATGAGCGATGATCATCTGAGCATTGAGCATTTCCTTCTAAAATTCGAGGGTCAATCTCAATCGTATGAATAAAGAGTGAAAGGTCTTTAATGTGTTTGGTTTGCTTTGGACAAAAAAGGCGATAAAGTCGGTTCCTTTATGATTCAGGAATCGTGGGTTATACTGAACTTGCCATTGAAAGAATAAGGGGATGATAATTTGGGCCTTGAGCATTACAATATCGACAATTCATGTTTCGGAGATTAGGATGGCTGTTGAGTCATAGGAGTTTGTCAACGAAAAGGTTGCTCAATGTTGAGCAACCAGACCCGCCAGCTACAACTGCTAAGCAGCTGAATATGGACGCTGTCCATGAAGTTGCCATTTATGTTCACAGGTTTCATAATCTTGACCTTTTTGATAAGGGGTAAGTTCGACTTTCTTGCGAACTTCGATATTTCTTGTGAATGTTGTGTACATTGGGAAAGCTTTATTACTTAGTTTTGTGTGTTATCTTTACTTGCCAATGCTTCTACTTGCAATGCAGATGGTACAAAATCAAGATTACCATGAGATGGGAGAATGATGTAAACTGCTACTCGGGTATTCCGGCAAGAGTTGTTCAGTATGAAGGTATCATTTATTTCGAAGGATTGTAGTTTGGTACACTTATTTGCTGTTCCAGTTCTTCCATGAAGATATAAGGTGTGGAAATTTTTATTCTGAAAAATTCAGTCATGTGGTATCAAGTTTTAAAATATATCCTTTTCCCTCTTTTTTTAAATTAAAAAACCTGAAACGTAGCTAGGCTTTCTGCTTTCAAATTTATGGAAGTATCAATGATTGATCCACTGATTACTGCTGGCTAAGCAAGCTATTCTTTTAGTGTGATTTGACGTAGATTTTGCAATAATAAATGTTTTCTTTTGGACCAGATTTAGCTTTCTAGACGGGAATACAAACCAACAATCCATAGCTTATTTAGGAAAGCCATAATCCTCCCTTTCATTTCATAAAGTTCAGATGCTTTCTATAGAGCTTTTGCAAGTTTAGCCGAAGTCATTGCTCTGACCTTCAAATATAACACATAAGATGTTCGCTATTTGTGAGTAGAACAATAATATAACTTCATGCAACGTAATTTAAGCTTTTAAGTTAAACATACTTCTGTAAGTGGAGGTTACTTTAGATGACCAAACCCTTATTTCTCTCTCTGTCTCCCTCCCTCCCATAAAAGGGCATATATAACTTTCTCAATGAGGTAGTGGTCAGACAAGGCCTGTTAAACACTTTCATTAATAGACTCCTTGTTGCGAAGAAGGAAAATACAGAAATAAGTACATCAGTTTCTAATTTTAAGTTTTAAGAAAACGAGCTTGTCTTTTGATAAATAAATTACCAAGCGGCCATGTAAGGCTTTTAAACATCTCTTTTGCCAGAATAATCTGTCTACCTATTCTTTCCTTTAAAGGGCCTGTATTCCAATGCCAATCACCATTCGCCGTGTTTTGAAAATTTTACGGCAAAAATTTATATGCTCCTAACAGAAAATAAATCTGACTGATGCGCTAGCCCTATGATTTGTCTTTCACTTTTGAATCCACTCTCGTGGTTGTTAAACATTTAACCTTTTTTTTCCTTGAGAGTCTGAACTAATGTTTGATTTTCTTAGTCATTACCATGGTCTTCAGATAGTTTTTGGTCTTGCATTATGATGGGAACCAGAACAAGAATAGATGATAAAATGCCGAATCTGAGTAATATGAATCTGTTCTTCCTTCCCGGTCTGACAAGGAAGAAGTAACAAAGTGAAATAGATCAATGTCTCACAAAATAATCACTTGACCTGGCATTCGAGAGGCTAGCACTCTCCTCACCAGAACACTCTTCAAAACATGACCTCCCCTCCCAGGGACAAAACCAACGACCATAAGCAAAGCAAAAGTGGTCAACACAGTCCCCCAAAATACCCTAATACAATCACAGGTCTAGAGCACACAAAAGCATACTAGGTTGCTGACACTTTCTCCAAAAGGTAGGAATTATAAAGTCAACTTATAAAGCATCCTTTGCATTTACTTGCATCTTCTTAGGTCTTCTCTTGTAGGTATGCTTGGCATGTGTGACCCTATCACATTATTATATTTCTTCTTCACAGGAAGTAATATTTGATAATTTCTCTTTTCTTTGAGCTGCAGCACCTGAAGTAGGCTCTGACAATTTATGTAGAGTTTGGAGGATTGATGATACAGATAACAGTTTTTCAACACCTCCTTTTCGTATCAAATCTGCCAGGCAGGATGTTTTCCTTTCAATCATGATCTCGTTCTACCTATCTTTTGGTGGATATGAGGTCAGTTCCCTCCATGTCTAGATAATATGATATCTCCTATAATATTTGTAGGATATTGATGAGGCGTTTTGTTAAACAATCCAAAAAGCTAAACATGAAAAATGGTAAAAATTTCTAAATTGATTTTGAGACTGCAAGATAATCACTTTTAGCTTAAAGATGACTGAATTTTCTAATTATTTTGAAAATTACGGAAATTATTTACTAGAATTCTTGAATGAAATGTGAAATTTAGGCAGCAAGCAAGACGAAGATGGACCTAATTGATCTCATTGAACTTCTGGAAAATTTTTGAAGACTTCACAGTTATGCCCTGGTTTATATTATCTGACGGCAACTTTTCACAATTTACCTTAACGTCTGTTAAATTTTCTCATATGTTTCTGCATTTAATTAGTTCATGGCTGAAGCAATAAAATGTGGTGAATCTTTGCAAAAATGAAACCTTACCTTTAGATGAAATTCCCTGGTTTTATATCCCTAGTGACTTGCTGACTTCTTGGTGTGCAAGATCTAGTTTTGTCTTCTTCCATCCCCCCTCTCTCTAGCTTTTTCAAAAAGAATTTTCCAATCCCTCTCTCTAGCTTATGTCTTGGCTAATGATTTACAAAAGTCATTCACAGGGACCATCTGCTTCTGCTGTTATCTTGAGGTTTGAGCTTATGTATTCCCCCGTGTCTGAAATTAGGTCAGTTCATGCTACCTTTTCTCTCTTTGATTGAATTTGTAAGGATTTATATTTCATTACTGTTACGTAGATTTGAGGGAGCAAAATGTGAAACTGCTTGAATCATTGTGCAGGCCTGACTTACATGCCTCCCTAGATCAACGCCCTGCTGCGGTTCATGAATACAGAATACCCCCTAAAGCTCTTTTGGGATTACATTCATATTGTCCTATTCAATTTGATGCTTTTCATGCTGTCCTTGTTGATACGAGCGTGCACATCAGTCTGCTAAGAGCTGGTTTCCGCACACCCCGACTGAAGGTACCCAGGTTTGTCAAATTCCAACTTTTAAAGTTTGGAAAAGATAGATACCTGGTTACTGTTGCATTTTTGTAATTTATATTGTTTTTCTTTTAATTTTCTCATATACTATGCAGTTTTAATTGATATACTTAGTTGAATTATATTAGTGATTCCCTGGCTTCACAAGGCACTCACAGTGAAGATTCTACTCTGTCAAATAAAGTATGTTCTATCTCTGTGAACCTTATATAACTGATGTTTTATTTTTATGCATATTTAATTTTTTTACTTTTAGTTGCATTTAAACTTTTCTTACTGTCGCTTTCATTTCATTATCATGATTACACCTTACTAGCTATTTTCTATGCCTTTTTTTTTTCCTTCATAGCAATATTTCTAATTTTGCAAAGATGTTTTCGATCGAAATTGATATTTATTATCAGCTAAATCTTTTATGGATTTATATTAGTTGTCTAACCTTGAATCAGGTTATGCTCACCAAAGCATTAACTGCTGCCCGAGACATCCTGCTTGAAGATCTTAGAAGAATAAGCAAGGGAATTGATCAAGCTATTGATTGGACTGGAATGACTTCCAAAATGGATTCATTTGGATATGATCCCCCAGCAGATATGGAAATTAAAGATGGGGTAAGTGTCGCAACAACTCTCTAGGCATTGCTTAGGTCCCTGCATCTGGTACTTTTGATGCTTTTTGTGCTGTTCTGCATTCTTGATGATCTAGATATTGATTGCATGACTATGTTATCTTTTATTCACCTGAAAGATGCTGGTTAATTCAACTTCAGATTGACGGAGATTCAGAACCTGTATCTTTGGAGTATCTGTCAAAATCTTTCCAGTCTCTGAGTAATCAACTCTTATATCTGTGGAATAGATTTCTGGTATTCCATAGGTATGTTCAGGTTTATTATTGAATTAATTCACATCTAATAATTATCCAAGTTTGAGAACTTTAGAGGTGCTTTATTATAGTCTTCCTTCCCCATAAAGTATTGGGACTGCATTTATTATTCCATTTTTATCCTTATTGCATCTTGAAAGACTATTCTTTCAGAGTTTCAGTTTTTCTTGATAATGACTGAATTTTCTGCAAAGTTAGTTAGTCGCGCTCAATGAAACCCTGGCCTACTGACCAAGTCAGGTTTAGCATGTTCTGAATGAAGCTACATATATGCTTCTTGTGAGCAGCTGTTAATAACACAAAGACATGACAGGACTTCCTTTGTTTTGAGCCAAGATGCACTCACGTAGGGCCTTTGAACATTAGATCATTGCACTGCATGAAATTAATGATAACTTTTCCTTATTATTACATCTCTTCACCCAGGGAAAACAAAACGAAGATAATGGAATTTCTCCGTAATTCATGGGCCAATGATCGAAGAGCTGAATGGTCAATTTGGATGGTTTACTCGAGAGTTGAGATGCCTCATCGGTATTTGAGTAATAGAGCTAACAGGGCATCTTTGCATGGTAGCTTTCTTGGAAGATCATTAAGTATAAGGAGGCCAAGAGATGATGTAAAGATTTAGCATACCCTCTTTAAGTTTCATAAGTTGATTATCTTCTATTCCTGAGTCCATCACTAGATTGTTGGTTCGCGCATCTGCTTAATTGCTGTATTTTCTAAAAACATGCTGTCTTCCTTTTTGTTTCTCCTTTCAGCCTGTTCAGACTGCATCAATGCGTGCTGAACTTCATCGGCGAGGTATTGCTCACATGAGGGTGAGCAACTGCTTTTTCCTAGAATGCTTTACAATTTTTCTTTTCTCAATTGACTTGGTGACAAGAGGAATTCCATGCAGATCAACAACCGCTCACTTCAAGACATGCATATATTTGGAGATCCTTTGTGTGCTCCTATTATTATTGTTGAACGCATGACAAACATTCTGCGTTCCACCAGTGTGAATTCTTACTTTGATCATTCCGCAGAGAAAGCAAAATATCCTTTGGAAAATGGATCTAGAGCCACAAACAAATTTTCTGCAAGTAGCCCAGAGCAAAAACAGCATGTTTTAAGAATAGTTGTTTTTGTACATGGGTTTCAGGCATGTCCGCTCTTCTTGCTCTTGTCTTTATCTCCGTTGTTTGTCACTTTGCAGTTTTTCCTTTTGCGCAAGTGGATTTAATGAGAATTTCTCTGTTACTGGTGTTTCATTAATGTATATGATGCGAGACATATATTCATAATATATATTCTTACCTAATCAATAGATCTAACTGTACCCGCTCAAACATTTACAGGGACATCATTTGGATTTACGACTTATTCGGAATCAGTGGCTTTTAGTAGACCCCCATGTACAGTTTCTTATGTCTGCAAGTAACGAAGACAGAACATCTGGAGACTTCAGAGAAATGGGAGCACGGCTTGCGCAGGAAGTGATCACTTTTCTTGAAAAGAAGATCATTAAATCTTCAAAAAGTGGAAGCCCAAAAGATATCAAGCTTAGTTTTGTTGGTCATTCTATTGGAAATCTTATTATCCGAACTGCTTTGACAGGTACTATGCATAAATCTTCAATGGATATCATACGTATCAAAATCTAGTTAAAATTTTTTTTAAAAAAAAAAATTTTTTATTCATGCAGAGAAAGTCATGGAGCCATATCTAAGATACTTGCATACATACGTTTCTATGTCTGGTCCACACTTGGGTTATATGTACAGTTCAAACTCCATATTTAACTCAGGGCTTTGGCTCTTGAAGACTCTCAATGGAGCACGATGCATCCATCAGCTAACTTTTACAGACGACCCTGATCTTGAAAACACCTTCATCTACAATCTTTCCAAGGTACAGAATATATATTATTTGACTTCAAGGTCCCTAAGGATTCTGGATACGTAATAGTTTAACCAAGGTTTGATGTATTTTTATTCTTTCTAGCGTACTATGACTCAAGCAAAATGTAGAGGAGAAGTCTGCTTTTTGGTGTTAGCATTTTAATGAAGCTCACAAAGGGTTCATCTCATAGAAGGAGGGAATTGTGGATAAAATTTATGCATGTGTCTAGAGTCTTAGTGATTATGTTCTTCAACAAAATTGTCACTTGTTTAATGTTCTCTGTTTTTCATTTAAGAAATCAATGGCATGCTACTGAGTTGTAAAAAATGTCCACATGTCATCTTTAGCCAAACGGAGGAATGGAAGGAATAGATTTGGAATCAGGTTCAGAACGTGTGAGAGTCTCGATATGATTTTCACACACACAAATAAGGAGTATGATAAAATAATACTGCACATGTGTAACTAACAGTAAAAAAGAACTAAAATATAAATTTGAAGTTTAATTTCTTTTTATTAAAAACCCAATAACAAATATCTGAAAAACTGCGTCCAAGTTTTCTCCGCGAATAAGTCCTATATTGTCAGTGTTTACCCTCTGTCTGCTGATAAAAAAACAATGTTATTCTTGTATTGCAGAAGAAGACACTGGAAAACTTCAGGAATGTGATACTGTTATCATCACCTCAGGTAAGCCTCGTTTTATTGGAACTGCCATGGCCATAACTTAGTACTCTGATAAGCATATAAAGAATCTCTTTGATTTATTTCTCAGTATCTAGGACTCGGATATATCTGCTACATCAATTCCCAATGTTTGAAAGGATGGTAGAAAATTGAAACTTCGAGAATAACTAATTCTTTTAAATGAATTTGGAAGTTCTCATATTGGGGAATATATTCAGACTTAGGTCATGCTGATAAGTTGCTTTTCTGTCAAAGATGCGTCAGCATTCACAAATTATCTTGCTTTAGAGTTCACTACTGGTGACCCTAAAAGCTGATTTTTGTTAGAATTATCAGGCTGGTTCTGAAGATCTCTTATAATACTCCTCCGGTCTTTAATATAGGAGCTAATTAGGGAGTTGATGTGGTCCTATATATGACCTATTTCATATATTTATCAATTTTTTTCCCGAATTAACCCTATTGATATTCCCCTCACAATGATCAAGTAGGAGGGGGGGAGGGAATTAAAGAAGATGCTAAGAGTGTTTCAGAAAAAACATATTATATTAACTAATTTAACTAACATTCTTAATTAACTTAAATTAGTTAATTAGGTATTATATTAAAAACCAGAGGAGTAACCATTACAACTATGCATTAATAATACAGTAGGATAATTATAATAAAAATCCCAGCTACTTTCTGCTTTCGCTTTTTGAACCATGTTCTAAATTTTGTAATGCCTCCTGCTCCTTGCATGTCAGGATGGTTATGTTCCATACCACTCTGCCAGAATAGAACACTGTTCAGCAGCTTATTTGGATTACTCTAAAAGAGGGAAAATCTTCTTGGAGATGCTAAATAATTGCTTGGACCAACTTCGAGCTCCATCTGATCATCGTGTGGTCATGCGCTGTGACATTAACTTCAACACCTCCTCCTATGGCAGGAACCTAAACACACTTGTCGGACGCGCTGCTCACATCGAGTTCTTGGAATCTGACATTTTTTCCAAGTTCATATTGTGGTCTTTCCCAGAGATGTTTCTTTAGTCACAGGGCCAACCAGCTCATCTGATATAGAAAACAATGGTGAACTTAGCACAAGATTTCCAGAATAGTGGAACTGAAAAGAGTGGATTGGAATCAAAGGTCAGAAACTTGATGCAATTTTCAAATGTTTGCTACAAGATTTCTCCATAGAAAGATGTGTATATCTTATACACCTTGAAGTACATGATTGATCCTACCAAAAAAAAAAAAAAAATCATCCGCGTAGTTATTGGAGAACTTGATGGCAAACGGTCTAGAAAATTTTGCCTGAATTTCTTTCACACGATATCTGTACATGCTTTTATTAGCTTTTTAGGCTGGTAGACTCGATGTGCATTGTACACTCAGAAATGGAAATATAAACTTTCATTTAAGATTTTTTACTTGTATTTTGATTCTTGAATTTACATGTAATAAATATACTCAAATATTCCCTGGAAATAATGAGAATATATGGGTGCTTAGTTTTTAAATTGGTTTTTAGAGAGGGAAATATCTCGATTATAAAATCTTATTTCCGTATATCTTGCTCTGGTTTTCATTTGCTAATATCATCTTGGTTTTCAATTCTTCATCTCTTGCACTGGGTAGGACCAAACCTATTAGGATACTATGGGTTCGTTGAACACTCCAGCTGTTGACTAGTTTTCTTTTTTTAAATTTTTGGAATCATGAACTCGAACTTTCTATTACACTTGGGGTTTTTTTTGGAGAATTACTATGATGTCCCAAAAAAAATTAATGTAATTACTACAAAGTCTCATAAGAAAAAAGTAGCATGCAATAAGAAGTTCCAAGAAAATAATAATAAATCTATACTGCTCACTTGTTATTAGAATTTTTTAGTAATTATATTTTGTTCTCGAAGCCTCATAGTGATTTTCCCTTTCTTTATTTAAAACTGTTCTATTGTTTAATTTTGAATCATCATACTAATTTTCACTTGGTTGAGATTTTATTTCTTGCTCTTCTAGCATGATCGAAATATTCATGATGAATGAAGATTCTATTTCAGGATGGAGAATATTTGCCAACAGAATAGTGAAGATTTATGCAGTAAACTCTAACTATAATAAGCAAGAAGAAAAGAATTGGGGAAGAGCTAAATTATCACCATAAATAAAAATTGCTTTAAGGGGTGGCTTGCTTGCTTCTTAACTTGAGAGATGTGACTTTTCCAAACATATAGTCTTGTCCATTTGCAAGATTGAAATTTGAAACTACCTTATTCTAGGCCGAGTTTCTTTTCTATCTGGCCAACGTTTAATGGGTATGCATCAGTGTTAAGAAAACCACGTATTGTCATGAAAAATAGTGCCAGACTTTACAGGGAAATCAACATAAATGAGAAGAGATGAATTTTGATCTAAAGTTTTCAACAATTCAAATTTATAATATTCAATTTTTTATTTAAAAACTATTTTTGAAGAAAAGAACTATAATTGGGAGACTTTTATTTTAAATTTTATTTCTTTTAAAAACTTTAAATCGGAATAAACTTTTGCAATTTTATGGCAGCACAAGTATACTTATTCCCCATCCGGTTGACCTTCAGATTTGAAGGAATTTTTAACAATATTGTTTTATATAAAATATTAATTACAAATCCGATAATTCAGATATGTAACAATTTTTTTTTTTAAAAAAAAGGAAGTCTTTTTTTGACCTTTTTGCCCATGCCACCATATTTTTAGGAGCTTCTTAATATAAGCACTTTTATGCAAATCAAAATAAAATTTTTCTCATATACTTATCATGTATTTCATAAATCATGATCAAAAAACTATTTTTAAAAGCTCTAATCATCACTCCAAACAAATTCTTGGTGGCAAGACAACAACCAAGATGTGATGAGAAAGACTCTTCCTTCTTTAAATCCTCACAACTTGAACTATATTTCTAAACCCTCCCTCCAACTAAATTTCATTTTCACTTTCACTTCATAAAAAATACTATCTCCAACCCTTAATATAAAAACTTATTTAACTTTTATTTTGATCATAAATATAATACCTAAATCCATTTTACCTATTATATTTATTCATTTTTTTTCAAAATAGTCTTTATAATAATAGTAATTCTAGCCAATACTTTGATTAGTAAAGATATTTTAAAAAAAACAACACTTATTTATTATAAATAATTAACTTAACTAATTTTCTTAATCTACCAAAATTAGTTAACTAGTTCTTATATTAAAGATCGAATATAATACTTTCATAATCTTTTAAAACTCACTTCCACCCTTACTTCTATTCTATGTCCACTTCTACTTTCTTCAAAAATACTTGTGTGACAACAACTGGGGCCTTAAAGAAATGAAGAGTATACAAAAGACAATAGAATAATAAGCATACGCGGACACCTGTTCCGACCTTATTATCATTGCTTAAAATGGTAGTTATCTTTTTACTTAAAAGCACTAAATATTTCTATCCACCAAAGTGTTCTTATTATATTCTCCCTTTTTATTTCATTTCATTCTGCTTATCATACAAGCCAGGATCAATTGAAATTCAATGATACATTTGGTTAGAAGACGACACTCCATGGCTGAATCAAGAAACAAAGCTTCTTTTTGGGTTGGAAATACTCCAAACCCTTTCATATCTCAGGTCTGATGCAACTGAGTCGTACAGCTAACAGGTAACATGAACAATGGCCTATTTTTATTACCATGTTATCAAGTAAAATGGAAGGAAAAATAATTCTAAGAGGGAAAATTAACAGTCACTACTCAATCTTGATCTTCATTATCTTACTGCCCTTTTGATTTGCGATAATTTATTCACAAGCCAATTTGGTGTCAAAGCTGCTCAGGCATATAGCAAAAGCCTGGAAGGCCGATAGAGGATAACGATAATCCATGGTGAACAGATCTTTCCCAACTTTACCGAACTGCAGGATTATCTTATCTTGCTCCGACGGTGCCGGCTGAGATGGTGTGGAAGCACTGGCTGCTGGCTGGGCAGCAGCAATCAACTGAAAGTTTTTAACTGATGCAACTGTTACCCGGCCACGGAAGTTAAGGCACCAACATTGCAATTGTTCATGCCATCTTGGAGGTTTGTTCTTTAGAACCAAGGGCCTTGCCTTGCCGCCCTCATCGTTGTTGCAGCCTTCGCCAATCACAGAAAACCTTGAGCTGCTGAACTCAATAGAGCGGTCTAAGGATTTTGAAAAGGAGATGCTCCGGAACGAGTCCTCCAAGGCGTGAGGAAGTAGCTCGGGTTGGCCAGGGACTGTGCCACCATCGTCAAGTGCTGATGCTGGTATTGAATGCATGATGCACTGCATCTTTCTTGGGCCTCGTGTCCCAAGCACATTTAATTCATATTTTACTTGAGCTACGTTGAAACTCCCGGAAGGGACCCTTGGTGAAACCTTTTTTGAATAAAACCTTCGGCTTGTCCTCCCTGGAGGTGGTATATGGGCAGAATTGTAGGGAGGCTGTGTATCGTATATTATAAATTTGGTTCCCAGCAAGTTTGATCTGGTGACAGACATTCAGTTGGAAAATCTCAATGGAAGTGGGAATAGAAGGAACAAAAGATCATACTTTTAAGCAGGCCTGTCTGAAAGAACAAATTCATTTATCTAGTGTCATAACTGCCATAAATTGGAGATAACGGTCACTATCGTTTATTTTTTTGTTTCCAGAAAATGCATGCCTTTATTATATTAGATTGTCATAAACTTAAATTTTATATTGAATATAGAATAAAGTTCAAATCTACATACAATCTGATTCTATTTTTTCAGAGAAACTGAGTAAGGCCTTTTCCACGCATAGAACTTCAGAGGATTTTGTATAAACAGATAATGTGAGGGTTTAGAGTTGAAAGTAAGCAACCAATAAACTCACCTCAGCTTTCCAATGTAAGAGCTACTGGATCTAGAGATATTGCCGGCATCCATGGAAATAATATACTCTGTGTAAGTTGTTCTTCTCGTCCTCTTAGCAAATTGAAACCCATTTTCAACTAACAAAGCTTAAGAAGAAAATAAAGATTACAAAAGGAATGAAGAAAAAGTTGATTTGATTAATGAACCAGCATAGAACTAATAGTAACTATCAAGCTTCAATTGTCTCAAGGCACAATAACGAGAAAAGAAATATGTGAAAATAAAATATATTGAATTATCTGATTTCCATGCCATCCATCAGCTAGCAAATGCCAATGAAGGCTAGAATTGAGAAAAAAAGTAAACAGACAAATTTGACCATATACAAAGTTTTGACAACTCAATTACACATGCTCTCAACCTCTTATTCATTGAACACAAGTCTAATTACTGCAATTGCCTCAGCAACCAAGTCTTGATGTCTAAAGTCATGCATTCTTACAAAATTAAACACACACCCCAAGCAGCCTAGGATATATATTATGGAATTAAGTGCTCAACATTTACATATCAATGCGATAGATAAATCAAGGTACGAAAAGAAAGCTTACCAGAGCTGAGACAAAGGAAAAGGCGATATGATAAATTAGATTTATCTCTTTTGATAAAACATTGAATGGTTCCATCTCGTGATCCTGGCTGCAATGTCATGAAAGCATAAAATTAGGACTCTTCAACGCTTCACATCAAAAACCATTAATATCTCCACATCAATGCACCAAATAAGTTAGGAAAGAAAGCTAACCTGCTTCAAGGACACAGGGAATGTAAGCTGGCCACTAAACTCTGGACTCTCAACAATTTCTTTGCACATAGTCCTCCAAGACTGGCATACTGCAGCACATGCAACAACATGCTTTCGTGCAGGCCATGTACTTTCACTCTCTACTAGCCTTCTAATGATATCATACAACAATTCTGGGGGCAAGCTAGCCCAGCAACTATTTTCAATTACTTCTGGCTGATCATGTATGGCACCATGAGATTTTCCTCTGTGATGGCCAGTCAGCCGCACATCAAAACTCCGTCTAGATAAGCTCCCTAAGCTATCTCTCACATCACGAACTATACTCCGGAATGACATTGTCCCAGTAGATGCATATACTGATACTTAAACTGTATGTTTCTCTTGTTTCTCTTTCTCTTTTTCAAACTACAAAAACGCGCAAATGACTGCCGCAGAAAGGGGAGTTTCAGTTCAACAGCACCAATTCTCGTTTTTGGTTTTGTTATTGTTTTTTTCCACCAAATTTCTCAGTAAAGATAAAAACACCAAATAAAACATAACTGCAACAGCTTATACTTGAAAGGGGAAACAAGACAACTGCGATCTAACATTGGCAATCACTTACTATGGCAAAGAGCGGAACAAGCTGTAAAATAACATTAGCCTATTATGATTATGCCACATACAGACCTAACAAGGGTCAAAATGATGCCTTCAATTCTTCTTTATTTCTTTTAATTGGCAAATAACGGATAACGTTTCCCTTTACTTTCGTTCAATAATGAAGTAGCAAATCTAAAACGTTTAATTCAGCAGACTCTATTCTGAAAGACCAGAAGAGAAGAGGGAATTACCTCTTGAGACTTGAGTCATACAAGATGGTCAAACCCCCATGGTTGGATTAAAACTCACCTTTCATCTGCAAATGATAAAACGTCAGAAGATGAACATCAAAACCCCTAATAATTAAAATCCACAATTTCATTTACGATCTGCCCCACAATATTATGCCCAACGACGTACGCAGGCTAAGAAAAAGCTGAAATGCCATGGTTTCCTTCTAGCATTCCCAACCAAAAACCCATTTTAAATATAGGTTCTGGAGTTCAGATTCAGAGAAAAACTCCAGAAATTATTTGAATTAAAGAGAAAAAGTATTCATTTTTTGTTTTTTTTCCATCAAGAAGAAAACTTGATTTGGAATATAGACATTACCAGCGCTTACAGAGATGAAATCCAAAAGAGGAAAAAGAGATCCCTTTACAGAGCGGAGATTCAATGAAGTAGAAGCTTAAAGTCACAATCCCGCTTCCGAGCCCCTTCTCTCTCAAAGCCGGACCCCAAGACCGCGTTAAATGCAGTTCATGAATGCGATGAAAAGAAAGCCTGGGGAGTCCAAGTAAATATCACTATTAATTTATAATCTGTTTTTGGCCAATATTAATTAATAATCGTTTAATAAATAAATTTGCGCGTCTGTTTTCTCTTTGTAATTTTGTCAGTTTACTAAAATTTATCAAATCCCTTTAACATCCTATATTCCTTTCGTCTTTTTTTATGAGTAGTATTATACTTCCCTGCGTTCTCTTTATAAAACTTCATTTATAATCTATAAATAATATTTTATAATTAATGCAAGAGGTAATATTAAATCACATAAATAAAAAATTAGTTAAAAATAATTAATAACAATAAATATATAAAAATTAAAAGTTTTTCTCCAAAATATTCTAATTTATGTGCAAGAGACCATATAAAAAGGAGAATAAAAAAATTATTATAACAAAAAAAATAATGAAAGAAAGAGATTATATTAAAATATAATTTTCAGAATATTTATTATCTAGAAAATGATATTTTGAGAAACAACAAATAAATATATCAACTATTAAAATAAATCTTTAATAGAGACAGAATAGAAAATTGGTTAAAAAATTTAAGACAGATTATAAATGTTACTTCTATTTAGAAGGGAAAAAAATAGCAGTTGTTGTTTATAAAAAAAAAGGAGGGAGTATTATCTTATTAGAGTTTAATTCTCAGCAAGTAAACCGAGTTGAATAATTAAAAATAATAATTAATATTATCTTTTTTTGGTGAATAATTAGTATTATCTTTAATTCGTAAAATATGTGCTATATATAGACACGCTATATGAAACGAAAGCCTACCTACCTGTGTCCCTGACCAAAGTGGCATTTGACTTTTCAAGGGAGACCCGTTTGACATAAACGCGTTCGCAGCAAGAAAAATGTGACGGCATTGTCTCGGTGACACGTGTCTTCAATTCTCAATTTTTCTCATTTTCTGTCTAAACACAATTATTTATTACCGAAATTTATTCCTTTTAAATAAATAGGGAAAAATATTGAAGACATAGCACTCCATATTCACAAAATGTAAAAGATTTACTTTACTAAAAACCTCACTCCGCCTTTTGGTTCCAAGAGAAATTTACAGCCGCTTGACCTCCTCAAACATCTTAATAACTCCCCCTAGTCTATTCTAGCAAGTCCCAATTTGAACTTGTCAATGCAAAGCACAAACAATTTGTTGGTGGTTAAGCTATTCTTATCATTTGTCAAGTGAAGGTTGTTATTAGTTTAGTTCTTCCAGTTATCTTTTTAAAAATCTTAAAACTTGATAGTTAATTGTCTTATGTATTATTAAGATGTTTTAATGGCTGAATGATTATAATTTTTTTGGGAATTAAAATGTGGTAGGATTGAGTCTCATCTCAACTTTGACCAAAAGTTTTTCAATAGCTGAATGCTAATTGTAATACTCATCCGATTCTCAATATAAGACCCTTATACACACTAATATAAGGGTTTTATATTTAGGATCGGAAAAGTAACTGCTAACATCCAATAAATATGAGTTTTCTTTTCAATATAGGGACAATAAAGTCAATTCACTAAATATTGACATAACTAATGAGTGAATTTGTATTTTACCTGACATTTTCTAAATTTTGAAGTTCTTATTTGTGTTTTCAACATTTTAGGAGATCTAATTGTTTTCTTTCCTTTTAAATAAAACATAAGTGAGAGGGCTTGTATAAATTAAATGTGGTGGACTTGATTGTTCCAACTTCCAATCAATGCATTCTCTTTAATGGATTGTTTCAAAAAAAAAAAATACCACCTTCTTTTTCTCAGTTTCCCACCATCAAATCTAGATAATTAATTTACAAATATAAACAGGACTAGAGGAGTATTATTTTTTTCTAAAATATCTTATTTAATTGTGTCCATTAAAACTATCTTTTAATAAAAACCCTCTAACTCTCTTAATATATGTAATTATTAAGAATATTTTAAGACAAAAATTATAAAATTAAAAGACAAAATGAATTAATATTTTATGTTTAAGATAAAGAATTTCTTATTCAACTTATGGTAAGACTAAGAATACGATGGAGTATAATACGACTCGCTGCCATCTCAAAACAAATAAAGGCAACACGGCAAGAATAAAAGTGCTTGAACATTTGAACCTATGGGGATGGCAATTCCCTTCGTGTCATCATGGACTTTACCTACTCTTGAATCTCGTAGCAATTAAGTTTAATGGTCATTTGATGTTTCATCCGGTAAGAACGACTGGAGAATAATCAAAGAATAGAATTGGTTACCACTAATGCAAGGAAAAATTTTGGCCATTAATATAAGTTAGTTATAGTGTTTTTAATATTTATTTTTTAATTTTATTCTCATTTAATTTTTATTGAAAAGGGAGAAAAAAGAGAGACATGAAAATAATTTGTTGATGCAGAAAAAGAAATAACTTTAATGAAGATAAAATAAAAATATTCTTTCAATTTAATATATTTTTTGATATATTAAAATATGTCAAAAAAGACTTATATTAAAGATTAGAATGATACATCTATTAATTAATCTATTAATATATAAAAGTAGAGTACAAGGCATGAGTATCTAACAGCATGACACGTGACGTCACCAAAGATCAGATAAATGTTCTTTTAAAAAAAAAAAGGCCACATTTTTTTACCTATGTTTCTACCCACATTTTCACGAAATGTTTATTATTAGAGAGAATTTTTCGGTCAACATGTCATGATTTTTTTCAGGATATGAACGATTATTCAAATTATTCTATATTATCTAAAGACACTTTGAAAGTTTGTATTTGGAATGTAAAACATAGTTATGCCACTTAAAATTTAAATTGGCCACTTAATAATTAAATTGATTTATAAATGGATAAATTATATGAAGAAGTATATTCCTAGAATATGGAAAGGTGTGGCAATTTTTAATTATATATTTATCGGATAGTTAGTTTATTTTAAACGTTGGGTATAATCACAAAATCCGGATTTTGCGTGGCATTTTTTATCATTATATATTAAAATGCAATCTTCTACAAGAAATCCCTCATAAAATCATATAAATTTTCCTTTTAAAAAAAAAATCCCACCTTTGTTAACTATTTTTTTAAACTATTTTCTACCCATGTTTCTAATAGTCCTATATATCCGTGTTGGCGATCGTGTTTAGTTTAAACTCGCAAACCGAGAACTTCTTCTTTTTTCAAATTATTTTATATTATCTGATTTATAAATTGATAAATTATAGGAAGAGCTATAATCCCAATATCCAGAAACGTGGGGCAGTTTTTTTATTATATATTTATTAGCAGTTTCCTAAAATAAATTGGTTATAAAGATATTGGGGTAAATTTATCTAATTGTGATTTATATGATCGTGGCAGTTTTTTATTATATATTTAAATCAAATAATTGTATCTTTTATTAATTATTAATAAACCAAACATAAATCCGAAAATGTGTGGAGTATATTTATCACAAAGTCGGGATTTTGCGTGACAGTTTTTATCATTATATATTTAAATGCAATCTTCTACCAGAAATCCCTCATAAAATCATATAATTGTATCTTTTATTTATTTTTAATTATTAATAGACCAAAAATATGAGTAATCCCTTGGGCATCATCACGCATTGTTCAGTTTCATTTGACAGCATGTTTCTAAAACCCACATTCATGATGTGGTCTCATGTGCAGATCATGCCCACGTTGTATGATGCTTGCCTTGATAGTTATCTGATGTAGTATCTGCTGCACCATTCCAATGTTCCTTCATGTTCTTCTCCCATTGTTGATAGTGTTAGTCAGGATTTTGGGACTATAGGCGTTATGGCTCCCATTTTTTATGCAATTCCTTCCCTTAATTCGAGCAGGCAGAATTGGCAGATTAGAGTTAGTGTAGTTCGTCTGAGGACCATGCCTAGTTGCTATTCCCATGAAGAACTCTCCTCCATTGAGATGCTCCTTCGAGATGAGGATGCGAGTAATGCTTTAGTATCATTCCCTTTCTCAACATGTGGTATAAATCAATGCTTCATGTGTGTGTAGGGTGATAACATACATGCTCAGGTTAAGAGTCCCTTCATTACTCGTCACCTGAATAACTTCACAGAAGGGAAGCTTTGTGTTATTTCCTACTTCATGGTTACACCGAACTATAGGTCATATAGGACAACTGATCACCCATATTGAATGAACTTCATGTGTTCCACGGTAGTCCGTCCCCTTCCGAAAGATGATCGTATTCATCAGTTTGGATTTGCCTTCCGTTTGTTTGCTTATATCTTGTCAAATCAGTTTGATGATCACTACTTGAATGGTCTGTGTGTTGTATTGATGTTTATCTTATTCTGATCTCATTTATGGGTTATGTTAGGTGAATTAATGCATTTCCTGTTGTGCAGATGTCATCGGGATGTTGTCTGCTATTAGAGAGAAGGAGGAGTGCAATATCAATGGCCAGACTGAACACAGAGTTAATGTGGAACTGATGGACATGGGTATACATGGAAGTTGTATCCCTGATGTGTGGCCATATGTTTTGTGTTATTCATCTTTTCTAGATACACTTCTGATGACATCTATGTTGTTTATGTTTTTTAGAATGGAGAAGCTTGAGTGCACACTCTGGGGAGATTTTGCAGATGAGATTCTCCAATTCATGGCAAGGGATATATCCACTCCTGTTGTTGTCATTATCCAGCTATGTAAAGTTAGAGAGTTTAAATGTATGGTTAATATATTTTGAATAATCCTATAATTAATTCTATCCTCAATGAGTCTAACGTGTTTGTGTTGTGATTTTTGCCAAGAGGAGAATCTCAAACTCTATGTATTCTTCAAGAATCTTCATCCATCCCTCCATTCCTGAAGTGGAACATTTCATGTCAAAGTATGGTTTTGTGATTCAAATTTTCATTTGTAAAGTACTGAGATTTTTTCCTACATTCGATTATGTATTAATTTTATATAGCGTGATGACTAATGCGCACGATTTATGTAAAGCCAATATATTGCTTATAATTTTGGAAGCAAGTGGTGACAAACTCGCCTGGTGCAAATTGAAGGCGAAAGGTGTCGATGTGGGGCAAGTTCTGGTTAGAATTGCTCCCCAGTCAACAATGAATATTGTTGATTAGTTACTGTCTGTTGAATTAAGGCGAAAGATATATGATCTTCATTCATTAACTGGGGTGTGTATTTCCTATTTCTCTCTACTATTATTCATTGTTCACATAATGCTCTCAATTTCACACTATGCTTCTCAATATTTAAATATTTAGTTCTTTGTTGTAGGATGGTGTGTGCTGTTCTAGCAGATATAATATACTTTCGTATTGAGAAGGGTTGGATGTATGTCTCTTGTAAGCATTGCGGAAAAAAAGTGGTGCTCGATGGGGAGGGGTTTTTTTTGTGAGAAGTGTGCTTCCATTATTAAGGCGGTCGTACTAAGGTAATGCTTTTAGTACCATATGTTATACTTCTGAATGCTTGAGGAACTTGCATGACACTTTGTTCCTATTGGTTTAAATTGTTATCATAGGTATATGGTTACTTGTGAGGTTATGGATGAGAGTGGATCCTGCAGCGTTGTCATATTTGACAGCAGAGATGAGGGACCGCATTCTCAAACAGTTTGGTGATGAAGGGTATATCTATATTAATATATTTATTCAAGTGTTGATATGTTCTTGTGGGATATTATTTATTAAAAGATTTCTTGATGTATGTTCAGGTTGGTGATGGAGATGGAATCCCAGCAAGCATCTTAGAGCCCCTCGCTTGGAAGAGATACTTATTTAAACTACGTGTTCTTGAGGATTATGTAAGGGCATATTCAAACACATGTATTGCTGTGTGCTTGACCAATGATAAGGATATAATTCATTCCTATCAAAATTTAATAGCAGAGAAGATGCCATCTCAGAATCTTGCTATGGAAGCTGACATTCAGCATGAGGCTGTTGTTAGGCTCCCATCCAAGGGTGATATTGGAGAAAATGCTGATGTATCTTTGAAGCTCGAGATGAATGAGCAAGGTCCTGTGGAAGCTGATGGTGAAGGAAACAATAAAGATGATAGCTTGGCGGTTTTACGTTGTCGTGGGAAGGCAAAACGGAAGTTGACCATTGAAGATTAAACATTGTGCTTGTGTCTTCTGTTCAGTCTTATATTATGTCTATTTTGTTGTTCTTGATTACTTTAACCTTTTAATGTTGGTTTAGATTTTGTTTAGTTTTCTATGTTTATGTGCTTGGATTGGCAAGACTATGATTTGGTGCCCATATTACTTAATGCATATCCCAGTTCAGTTTTTCCCTCTTTAATTGCCTTGCTTAGCACATTTCCTATTTCTCATCCATAAAATGTGGTAATCTTCATTGATATATATTTTTATATATATACGACTTGGGAGTTCTTGACAATGTTGGTTTTCATATCGCCTGAGTAGAAAATTGATAATTTTATCAACAAATAGAGTTTGTTGTTTGATAAACAAACATTTTAAATTTAACAAAAAACTAAATGTTACTTAATATAATGTAATTTTGATAATTTTTGGATACGTATCCCAGTTCAGTTTTGCACCGTTACCTTGCGAGTTAACTTGTGAATCCTTAAATATACTTTGAAATCCGAATTAGGATATGGGGAATATATTTTATTTCTATTAATATGCCACATAATTTTTAAACTATTATATATTCACTTGAAATATAGGAAGAGCTATAATCACAAAATCTGGAAACGTGGGCAGTTTTTTATTACATATTTATCGGCAATTTCTTAAAATAAATTGGTTATGAGGATATTGGGGCATATTTATCCAATCGTGCTTATAACTGTTTACTATATACACCAAACAAGTGGTTATGCCACTAAATATTTAAACTACCCACTTATTATTAAAATTGATTTATAAATCAATAAATTATAGAAAGAGATATAATCACAAATCCGGAAACGCATGGCAGTTTTTTTTAATATATTTATCGGCTAATTTGATTTATAAATTGATAAATTATAGGGAGTGCTATAATTATAAAATCCGAAAGCGTGGGTTAGTTTTTTTTAATATATTTATCAGCAATTTAATACAATAAATACTAATATGTTGCCTAAATGTTTGTTCAAATTTTATGGAACACACATTTGATTCTATATCATATGTCTGTAGTTACAACTTTTATTTTTTTAGCTATTTATCTCCTCAATTTCCAGTATAAGTAATAATTTCATATAGAGTATGCTATTGGCCTATACAATTGTCTGATAAGATTAGGACTAATTATTATATTATTTATAATGGAGTGTTGGGTGACTAATCTCTACATTGACAATGTTTTGTTTCTTATTTTGTTATCATTTAAAGAAAATAAGTGGGAGGTGGTAAGATCGAGAACACCAAGTATTGTGTATCTTTTTATTTTTTGTGTTGATGAAAAGGAGTCAAACATTTTTTTATGCATTAGCTTTTCTTTGTTTGCACATCTTTTCCTGTAATTATTAAATAAGACAATATCGTATCAGACCCAAATATTATATTTTTCCTTTGTAATTATTAACTGTTATATTATGATGTGACACTATTACATCCAATATCTTTCAAATGTCTAACCATTTTATTGTCATTTGATTTTTTATATGGTAATAGACCATATTACACCCGTGCGTCTTGTACTAGTTTGAATGAACTTTAGAGAAAAGTTTTTTTTCCTTAATCATTAACCTCTACCCACAACTAACACCATTTTCATTGCCCAACATAGGCCCAATTTGACAGAGTGGTGGAAATCTCTTAAAAGCACGTTTTACGTAAGTCGAGACAAAACTCTTCTCATATACTTGTCTCATATTCTCCAAATTACTATTAAAAAACTACTTATAAGCTGTTCCAAACAGATTCATAATCTAATATGCTCTATCAGAAATTCTGCAGGTACATCTTTTTAAGAAAAACGACCAATTCCCATAATCACTTCTTTTTTTTGGCCAGCAATTCCCATAATCACTTAAACATTCTCTTTCATGCTGTATTATATAAAATTTGTTTCACATCCACCGACATAAAATTACTCAAAATAAACTAATCTGAACGCGGCCTAAGTAGGGATCATTTATTGATGGGCCAGACGCAGGCTTCTGCTGGGCAGTAAAGTGTTGGTGTCCGTCAACCCTCCCGCTTCTGGACCGCAGAATCTGCATTAAACAATAGTCACACACATTTTTAAATAAAGTTATACTCCTCTGGTCTTTAATATAAGATCTAATTGTTGAGTTAGTTTTGGTCCTAAATATAAGATCCATTTATCATATTTATCAATTTTCTTTAAATTACCTCTATGGATACTCCCTCAACCATAATCAAGTAGAAGAGGAAGATGGGGTATTAAAAAAGATGATTATAGTATTTTAGGAAAAATGTGTCACATTTCTTATAATTAACTAACTTACCTAACTTCCTTAATATAATCAAATTAGTTAAATGGGTCTTATATTAAGGATCGGAGGAGTATTTAGTATATGAAACCCAAAACACAACACGTAAATCACTGTAATTATCAATGATGATGGGCTCGCTCAAAACAAATCCAATAGAGTGAATTCTGTTTGATTATAAATGGACTTAATAACAATAAAACATAAAATAACTTTTAAAATTTTTTAAAAAAAATCTTATTTTGGAGAATTTATTACACATGAAGCAAGTTTTACAATATTACTAAATTGGTTTGCGCTATTTTAGTAAAATGGCTCAATGCAGACTCTAGTGGTCGGTTGGGGGATTTTTTTTTTAATTGGGGAGCGAAATTACAAAAATAAACGTATCATTAAAATACCAAGTAATAATTAAGAGAGTAAGTGGCTCAATTGGAAGAAAAAAGAAACCCGAATGACCGTTTGTTCTGATTATAAGCACTGCATTAATCCAATTTCCTTAGCATGACAAATAAAGAAGTTGAAAAATATGATATTAATGACAGAGCTAATATTTTACAAATATAGTTAAATAATTAAAATATTTTTATATCAAAAAGTGTATTAATAAGTTCTGAACTAGTAATAACAAGTATTGAACAGTAAATGACAAGAAATATATTCACAACAACAAGTTATTTATGAACAAGTTGTGAGCCGATAAATAGCTAATAACCAAAAATGTGCTGACACTTACAAGTATGATAATTTTTTTAAAAGTATAATATAAGGATATTTTAGTTATTTAATTATATTTATAAAATATCATATCATGTATTACATCTTTCTTTGTTATTTTCAATTCTTAAGTGCCTGAATTGAAAAATGATAATTTCAGGGCTTTTTTATATAAGCTCTTCCTTATTCATATCCGATCAACATGCTTCAATCTAGGTCATGCTGACGATTTTGCCCCTACTTTTGAAATTATCTTTTTGCCCTTCACACGCTCCCATAAAATCTGACTGCGAGATTACTGTTTTATCTAACATTTTAATTTTTTGTTTGTCCAGTTGACTTGGGATTTTATTTTATTTTGTTATTTTTGTATATGTATTTTTTTTGGCCAAAATTATTTTTGTATATGTATGAATTCAAAGATAAATGAAAGAGCAAAAAGAATTGTGGACAGCAAAAGGACACGGAGGTAGGCTGATGATTACCTGGCCCGCATTTAATTTGGCACTTGCGGTCACACCTTTGCATAAGCCTCGCTGCATTATCATTCAAAAATGAAATAAATATTTATTAAATAACGAAATGAATGAATGAATTGCCAATTTTGTACATCTTCAAAATTATGCAGTCTGCGTGTTCGGTAAATATCTTCTGTCGACGATAATTTTACTTTAATTTGAATACTTGAATTTAAATCATTATTTTTTAAAATAAATAATTACAAGAAAAGATGTTTTTAAATGTTGCAAGAAAAATCTTCAACTGTATTAACTTTCTATTAAAATATAATAAATTTATAACTTTACGTCTATTTAATATAGATGCCTTCTAAATAATAACTATTTATACTATAATATATTAAGGACAAAATAATCTGTTCATGTTAAGTTAAAGCAACTTATAAATAAAATTAGAAAAAACCTTCTCTTTATATCTTATAAATGAGATAAGAGGAATATGCTATAAATGCTGGTCACATAATAAACATAACCGAGATGTCCACCAAATTTGTTTATAATTCTTGAATGAGGAAAAATATAATAAAAAGAAAGGAGGTAATAAAAGAAATTATGGTGGAAATTTGAAAAGATGAAGATAAAATCAGAGATGTCTGGTAAATATTCAGATCTTATCGTCTGAAAGAAAAATGAGGAAGATGATGAGAGCTAGCTTAATTAGTTGGGGGGCTTAATTAACTCAATAATACTCAAATCAAACCCGATAATATTACTTTAAATAGCAAATATTTGTGATGAGAAATTGCAGAGTTAAGAGAACTTACTGTTACTTTGAACGCAAGCAGTTTGACAAGCATCAAGACAATCAGCAGCAGAGGGTTCCACAGTTTCCATATGATGAGAGAAAATCACCATCACAATCATCACTGCTACTATCATCTTCTTCATCATCATCTTCTTCTTCTTCTTTCTCTGATCTCTAACCCTGAAACAAAGATACCCTTCTGAGTTCTGACACAGGTTGGGTTAGGTTTCCATCTATATATACAAGAGAGGGATCTGGGATCTGGGGAAGATGAAGATGATGAGCTCTGGTTTCAAAAGAAGGCACATGGCCTCATCCACTTGTGCTGGCAGATGCATATCACTTCTTAGCCACCATTATTGACTCTCTTTTTCATGGATCATTTAATGCCTCATTCACTGTTTTTGACCTGGTTTTAGGTCGCCCACCTTAATGGCTTATTCATCCGATGGATATATTAGATTTGTAAATAGTTTTCATTTTGATATGCTTGGCATGAAATTTTAAAAAAAAAATCTTAATTTTTTCTTAAAATTTAAATAACTTGTCAATTTTATATGTATTTAATATTTAGTATATCTCATAAAAATTAAATAAAATCAACATAATAATAAAAAAATGATAAAATTATATATTTATATGAAAAAAATTTTAAAGAACAAAAAAAGTTCTTATCTCTATACCATATAAATAGGAGAGTGTATTGAAGGAACATATAATTTTTTTAATTTTAACTGAACAAATTAAAGGTGAAAATATAATTATAAAAATAATTTGAGGGTATACACTACACAACAATTTTTGCACAATCACTTCATACTCTCGTATTATAAAGCATTTTAAACTAGTGATTATAAATTAAATTGGATATTTAGATGAAAATCAAACCATAGTTTTAGAAGTGATTTTACGGTATACGAAATAAATATATAGAGAAGTTTATCTCGATTTACAAAAAAATACTTTTAAAAAGCACTTCTCATAATTATTCCCAAACACCCCCACGATAATAGCACCTAAGCAACCTTGGTGCATACAACAATTTTATTCAATGTGAATATATTGCATATAATGACTATTTTAACCATAACTATCTGATTGGAAAAATTATTTTTGCACGATTTTAATCTAAATATTTGTATCTAATTCAAATTACTTAGGAAAAAAAAACATTAACAGATTTTGTTGCATATTAACAACGAACGAGCGATTATGCCCGCTGAACTGGTTATGGTTTTGGGGTTTATCCTACTAATAAATACTCTTATGATATAAGATTTATTTTGTAGTATAATTTACACTGCAAAATAAATTTTGTATTTAGGATTGCAAAAGTACATTATAATAGTGCTTATTATCAGTTATCATTGTCATGAGATCTAGACAGTCCAAATTTACTTTAAATGATTTAAATTTAAAACTTTCACTTCATCAGTGTCAAATGATAAATTCATTTTTTAAAATTAAAAGATAAGAAATTTTCTTTATTTTAGATCTTACATCCATTAAAATTATGAGCTATAAAAAAAAAAAAGGCTAGAGTGTACATCTATGTTGGTCAAAAAGACTAAAGTGTACATCTCGTTCTTTAACATTATATAATTTTATATAATATTTCAATTTGGTCTCCTGACTTTAAAAAAACTAAGGAACAAAAAACCGAAGCGGGTACTAAATCGATTGAGATAGTGGTTTAAGAGTTAATTGATCAGATCAGAGTCAACTCGGGGTCAAACCGATCATATTAAAATAATATAATTTAATTGAACAAAACAAAATACCACAAGATTAATAATCATTAATAACAAAATACAAAGAAATATAACAATAATTTGATTATAATAATAACAAAGTACAATAACATTGAATTTTTATCTCTATGATTTATCAATAACTAAAATTAATAATCATTGATATCAAAATCATTATTAAAATTCATTCACATATAGTAACTGAAATATTATGAGCTGAATGAGAAAAAATAGGATTAATAGCAACATAATCATCTAAACCGGTTCACACTAGTTTTTACTGGCTTGACTGATTCAATATCAATTTAACTCCTGACCAATTCAACACCTAAGCCAAATCGGACCGCTGGCTGGTTCATCAATTTTCTTATTGAACCAATCGGTTCAGTCCGATTTTTTTTTCTTGTAAAAAGCATACATGTAGTCCTTTAGTCCTAACATTATTAAGCTTAAACAAAATTTTTTTGTAATAATCATGTTTATTTTAAAAATTAAACTTAACATGCTAGCATTTAAGAATATTTTATCAACATCTAATATATCAATATCATCATTTTTTTGTGAACAAGTTTACGATTAAGGGCCAAAAAGTATACTTTTTAAAGTTAAGGGACGGGATTGAAACTTTCTATAAAATTAAAAGACTAAATGTATATTTTAACTAAAATGTAAAAAAATAAAATTTAATTTGGACCGTCATAGTTTGTGGTCATTATAACTTATGACATTGAGCTCTAACCATAAAAATATCAAATAATGAAACAAAATAAAATAAAATAATGTCAACAACGGCTATTTTATTTGATGAATATGAAGATATGTGTGAGTGATTTTTGTTTTTAAGATTAGTAATATAAAATAAAAAAGCATGCAATAACATTAATAATTGCTAATAATATAAAATAAAAAATAAAAAAGGAAAAAAACTGATAATCACTCTCCAATTTTAAATACATACAAGACTCTGCTCACTTTTTTTTTTTTTTCTTGGCTGTAAATATATAGGACCCTTCACAGTATATGTAAATTCTGAGAAAAGTCTCTATAACATAATTGGTGGCAAGAAGAAGAAGTCTCTGCAAAAACACTAGCCTTTACGCTGAGTTTAATTATGATGAATTATTATCATGAACTTTATTATTATTATTGGACACAACAACTTCAATTGGCTCAGGTTCTTCTTCTTGTTTTTGTTGGGTGTTTTTGGATTGCCCCATCTCAGCCTCCTTCATTTTCATTTCTTGGTTTTTACCCCATAGGACAATGTACAACCCACACACTATCATAAAAGCTCCAAGCACACTGCACAAAAATTAACATCATTAATTAATTTAAAGCCAAATTCTATGAATCACACGCATTATGATTCAATCTTGATACTTTATATACAATAAAATTTATTTTGAGGAACATTCATAGTAGACTAATTATACTATACCACTTTGTTCTTACTTAAGTCACTTATGACACATTTTTACATACCAAAACATGCATTACATTGGCAGAATTTTTTCATTTTACCGTTATTAAGGTCTTTTCTTACTCTCTATATTTACAAATCATTATCATAATCTGTTCCTTTTTTTCTCTTTCTAATGATAAGCACTAAATATACTATAAGTAATTTATATTTAGAACCAAAACTCTAATCTATAAATGACTTGCATTTAAGATGGGGGTGGTAGATTTTAGCAAATCCTGTGACACAGTACTCTATGTAAAAAGAGATTCATACCTTCCTAAATAGAGCTTCTCATTTAAGGTCAAAGAAGCAGCAATGGCCACTATCACAAGCATTAGGGTTGGAACACTGAGGTGAACATTGGACCTCTCATCCTCACACACCATGCAATCGCAATCACCACCAATCCAGAGGTAAAAATTCCCTGCGCAAAATCAGACATTTTTCTTAATAAATTATAATCAATTAAGCCCTATTATTTTTCATTATTGGATGTATTTAATAGCAACTAATATCCGACATGAAATGAAATGTGTCCTCTTTAACCCACGTTAATTATGTTTTTTTTTTAGTAGCTATATATGGAAGTCATTATTTTCCTTAGTTGCCTCTGTATTTTTAAAAATTATAAATAATGATATTTCCGTTGATTCTAAATATAAGGAGTAGATAACTTATTTGTATTAAGAAAATTAATTTAATTAGTTATTTGTAAGAAATATATGTTTATTTTTCTAAAATATACTATTAATCATTTGCATTGAAAACCACTCCTCCTTAATACATGCAATTAATAGGAAGAGTTAAAATTATAAATTTGAAAAACAAAACAAATTAATATATATCTTACATTATCTCCAATCCTAAATGTAAGATTTATACTTTATATATAGTGTAGATTACACTATAAAGTAAATCTTACCTTTAGAATTGGAGGTAGTATTTTAGATTCAAAGCAAACGTGATTATTGATTCTTATATTAAAAAGCATGCAGGTGGATGGATTATGACTTATTTTTCAAATTTCGAGTAACATAAAATGAGAAGAAGGGAAAAAAAAAACTTAGATTTGATGATACCGCGTAAGAGACAGTGAGAAGCCTAACATTCCAACCCAATTTCCATTGTTTCCAATCTCTCTCAACACAAAGGGCAAACAAAGTGGCTTGTATTGCTCCCGTTATTGACATCAAAGCTGCACTAAACAGATGACTTTGACATTCTCCGCCCATGCTTGCCTGTGTGCC